CTCCTAAAAGATGTATTGTCCAAATATAAGTTTGTCCCCATCCATCCATCTATCCATTAATCTTCCCAACATATTTTTAGTGAGTCCTAGGCTCTATGCTAGGTACTGGAATTACATAAGTAAGTAAGATCGTCATAGGCCCCATAGCAGGTGGGAAGTTGGTGAGGAAAGCAAACAGTTGTAATAAAGTGATAAGTACTATACTAGGAGAAGTATTGGGTATTGTAGGAACACATAAGAAGGGCTTCCAACCCTTTTCAGGGAAGGTGAGGGACCAGGAATTCATAGTGCCCTGTGTTGGACCAAAGGAGATACCAACATTGATTCATTCATCCATTTATTCCACAGATATTTATGGAATTTGTTATATGCCAGATACTGTGTTTGGAATAAATTGATGAATACCATAGATATTGCCCTTCCCCTGGAGGAGTTTAAAGTCTAATTAGGGAGATATATATATATGCATATATATCTGATGTATACAAACCGACCCATCTTGGGTCTTAGGAGTTCTGTCATATCTTTCATTTGGCTCACATGTGTCTCTTGGGTGTTTCCTATGAGCTAAGTCCCAAGGGTGTAAGAGAGGGAATTAGATGTGTTTCCAGACTTGGAGATTCATAGTCCATTGAAGGGGCCCCCTCATATTGTTAATAATCTTATGAGGTAGAAAAGACTCAGGCTGTGACAGATACAGAAGAAAGATTCCAGGACTTAGCAAAAGCAGCAATTATTTCCACTGGAAGTTTCAGCGAAGGCTTTGTGGAAGGGGTGGCATTTAGATGGGGTATAGAAAGATGCTTTTTTTCTGTCCTATCCGTTATCTCATTTAATTCTTACCACAACTCTCCAAGGCACATAATTTTTATCTTCATTTTATATGTGATAAATCTGACACATATAGAGGTAAAGTTATTTGTCCAAGGTCACTTAGCTTAGTAGTAGAAACTAGACTCCAGCATAAGCTTCCCATTTCCAAAATTGTTTCCCTTGCTACTGCATCACTTTATATTCATAGAGTGAATATTTATCACTTCTGGGAAACTTCCTCTCAGAACACCTCCATCCCAACTTTCCACACTGTTCATTCCTTTTACTGAATTCTTCCTAGACCCTGCATATTGCAGTCCCACGTTCTTTGTATGGCCTCCCTTCCCCCGGCCAGGGGCTTGCAGTTTCCCAAATCTCTGCCACTTCAAATTGTCTGAAGTTGTCCCAAAGAAGATTTGGGGATGGCTAGATCACTTTAAAGAGAAATTCTAAGAGCTCAAGGTTTAAGAAACTTAGATCCTTGAGGTGGCGTTGGAGCTGAATCTTAAAGGATGAGATCAACCAGATGAACAAGATGGAGAAGTATATTTTAGGCTGAACTAACACCAAGAACAAAGGCAGGGAAGGCTGCATGGTCTGTTTTGGGAATAGAAAATGACTCTGTGGGCCTGAATGGGCAGGCCTGACTGGAGCTCAAAAGATTAGGATATTGGCCCCCAAGGGCTTTGAAGACCAGGCTCAGGCATCTGGCCTTCATGCTTAGTGGGAACCCAGTCAGAAGACTGTTGCAGTGTTCTAGGAGGGAGGTGATGAAAGATTTGATGAAAGCAGTGGAGAAGGAGAAATGTAGACTGTTGGAACAGTATTTCTGAGCTGTAATTGTCATGGCGCAGTGACCAATTAGATATATGAGACAAAGAGAGGAGCTGGATGTAGGACGACATTCAGGTTGCATTGGGTAGTGCCCAACTGTGCATTTTCAAGACAAAAGGAAATATTTGTTATTCAATTTGAAAATCCAAGTAATGGGAGTTTGTTTTATTGAATGGGACTTATTAAATTCCTACACCATGAAAATAAAAGGGTATCAATCAGAAAAAACAAACTGGTAGCCTGGAGTTGAACCTGGTTCCCAGGTATGTTTAGTTTGGCCTGCACACTATTTTAAAATAGCACATTAATTGCTGACACTTAAATAATTAGGAGATTTCATATATAAGGCAGACTTCTCTTGAAAAAATGCAACAATCTAGCAACACTGACTTAGGCAGCAATTGGTGAAAACTAAATAGTGGCCACTTCTGTGGGCATGTGCACACACACACTCTCACGCTCCCCTTCCCACTCTTCTCTCTCACATCCAGCTTTCTTCACTCACTCATGTGGCCTGACCAGCTCCTATAACCATTTGTGTTTGCAATTTCTGGCTAAAATGTAGGTTTTTTCAAAGTTTGACATCAGACATGGCAAAGAGTTATACATATATTTTTTAACTCAGCAAATTCTCTAACTTCACAATCCTCGAATAACAAATGATAAGTACAATTGTGATTATCCACTCCCTTGAGGAATTATTTCTGTGTCTGGCTCCCTAAAGAGAATAACAATTTGATGAAGAAAAGCCTGAGTCAGACCCTAGAATCAGAACCATATTCTCTTTCCAATATATATTTTTTGAGACAAGGTCTCACTCTGTCACACAGGCTGGCGTGTGGTGGCGTTATCATAGCTCACTGCAGCCTCCTACTCCTGGACTCAAGTGATCCTCCTGCCTCAGCCTCCTGAGTAGCTGGGACTATAGGCCCATGCCACCACACCAGCTAAATTTTTTATTTTTTGTAGAGACGAGGTCTCACTATATTGCCTAGGCTGGTCTCAAACTCCTGGCCTCAAGCAGTCCTCCTGCCTTGGCCTCCCAAAATGCTGGGATTACAGGCACGAACCACTGCACCTGGCCTCTTTCCAACTTTTGTACATGTACACAGGTGCATCTGTGGGTGTGAGCACATGCATGCACACACACACACACTCCTACCTGCCTAAGGAAATCTGTGACTCACTGTAATTGGTATTGGAGAGTCTCTGAGAGCTACTTGACAGCAGATAGGAAATGGAAGGTTATTTCTTTTGTGCTCTTTTTATCCTTTAGGTGTTAGGGAAATGGGACACTCAGGATATTTGAAACCCCTTCCCCATCACACTGTCCCTGAGGGAGCCTGCCCTTCAACCCCCTCAGTGAGAGAACCCTTCCCCTGGGCACTGGGTGCCCTTCCTCCTGCCTCTCTAGGGATGGCTCTGTAGTTCTGCCCACCTTTCTTCTGCTTCTCAGTCTTTCCTCCTTGACTGGCTCCTTCCTCCCAGTCAACAGATGTAGTCAAACCTTTCTCATCCTCTTAATAAGCATAGTAATAGAAAATGATCAACATGAGTTAGCCATGTGCCAGTTACTAAGTCCTTTCACAAGCATTGTCTCATTTAATCATCAAAACAGCCCTATGAAGTCTATGCACTTATTGTCCACATTTCACAGAGGAAAAATCAAGATATAGAAAAGCTAAGTAACTTGCTCAAGACTACAAAGCTAGTAAGTGGTGGAGCTAGGATTTGAACCTACACAGTGGGTCACTACAGAGTCCATGCTCTGTAGTGACTCTCTCCACTTAGGTGGAGGCAAGTGCTAATACTGCATTTGCACAATTCTGAGAGACAGCACGTGTCCCGTTAGGTTTTCCTCGGGGATCTCTCGCTCACCTTCCCCTGTCCGGCCCTGATGTTCACACATCTCTTGACTTTATCTTCCTTCTCCCAACTGTCTTGCTTTTCTCCTCCCTTTCAGAGCCAATCTTGACAAACGTGCTTACATTCACTTTTTGCACTTCCTCACCTTGCAGCCACTCATCTATACTCAAAGTCTGGCTTTAACTCTACCCTTCCCCTGAAACTGACCTCCTGCTTCCTCATGGCCTATTTTTAGTCCTCACCTCCCCTGACTTTTCTGCTTCTCTCTCCCTCTTTCACATAGCTTTCTCTTCCCTAGGCTTACCTGACAGCTTTCTGCTCACCCTCCACCCCTCAGTTCTACTGCTCTAAAATTCCTTTCTGAATGCTTCAGGGGCTGCTCCTCCTTTGTCCACACATTAAGTGCTCGTATTTCCAATCGATCTCATTCCTCTTTTTCTCTTCCCTCCCTCCATCCCTTCTTTCCTTCCTTTTTTTTTCTTTCTATCTATCTTTCTTTAATTCTTCAGTTTATTAACAGGAACCCTCATCATCTCACTCCTGGGTTGCTATAATATTCCCCTAACTGCAATCCCAGTTGCCAGCAGCCACTTTCATCTCATGCTATATTTGTCAGACCTCTCTTTATAAAGCACAGCTTGGATCATGGCTCTACCCAGCTCAGAAATTGTCCATGGCTCTTAGTCACCTACAAGATGAAGTTTGAGCTCCTAGCCTGGCACCAGAGGCCCTTGAGGAGCAGGAACCATCCTTCCTGTCCATCCTTATTGTCCAAGACTCCTGAACACACATCCTTCCCCTTCCTGGAACAGGTGGTCTCTTTACTGTGTGCAGCCATGCCCTCAGTCCTGTGGCCCTTGTTGTTTGGAATGCTTATCCTTCTATCAGCAATACCAGGTGATACCAGCTCTCTCTATTAGCTAATATTAGTTCTGTCTGAAAATTCATCCCTCAAATTCTATTTATCCAGTTCATATTTCATTATTTGCATATCATCTTCTCTAAAATGTGAGCCCTCCCTTCTCTAAACTCTGTTAAAACTTCTAACATGTACTAATATGTGCCAGGCACTGCCTTTCTCACTTGATCCTGTCATCTGTCTATTAAGGTAGGTATTATTACCCCCATTTTACAGGTGAGGAAACTGAGGCTCAGAGGAGTAGAGTAAGTTGCCCAGTCATTAGAGTGAGGAACGATAGAGCCAGGATTCAAACTAGATCTATCTGAGCCCACAGGTAATGCTCTTTCTAGAGTTCCATTTAGTTAGGATTGATTTGAACTGAAAAACCCAGGGCCTTGTCTCTCTCTTCATTTAAGCAGCCAGGCCATTTCTGAAGCAGGGCAGTGGGCCTCTAGGGCCTCAGAGGCAGGGCGTGTGCTGGGTGTGGTGGTCCTGTTGGGCTCAGAAGCTGCGATGGGATGAGAGAGCTCCGCTGTACCTTCTCACTCTTCTGCTTCCTCACTTTCCTTGCATGGCTCTCAGGGAGATGGCCTACTCAGGAATCTACAAGCTGGATGATGGGAAGCCTTACCTGAGCAACTGCTTTCCAGCCAAAAATCTGCTTCGGATGCCAGAGGAAGGTCAGGAGACTTCTCAAATTGGTACCTTTTCCCCACACCCAGCTCCTGCCTTAGACTGTTTCTCACATCTGTTTCTTCCTCTCCAGCCCCTTCACTACTGTTCCCTGCCCCACTCAATCCTACCCCTCCAATCTATCTCCTGTAGCCTCGGTGGGACTTCCAAGGTGCACATGTAACCATAGTGCCTCCTTCTATTCAGTGACTTCTCATTGCTGACTCCTTTATCTGGCATTCTATGTCATTCAAAGTCTAACCTGCCCTAATCCTCTGCTATAACCCCATTCCTTTATTTATGCCCTACTCCACAGTACTTTTTTTGTTTGTTTGTTATTAATAAGAGATGAGAGTCTGACTCTGTCACCCAGGCTGGAGTGCAGTGGTGCAATCATAGCTCACTGTAGACTTGAACTCCTGGGTTCACGTGATCCTCCCACCTCAGCCTCCCAAATAGCTAGAATTACAGACACGTACCTGGCCTCTCTTTTCACATAGCTTTTTTATTTTCCCTGAATGTTCCTGCCCTCATTCTAGTAAGCCAAACTTCTCATTCCACAAAGCCCAGCTCTTCTTCTTCTGGTAAGTTGTGTCTGTCGACCCCAGCATTCAGCTCCCCTCCTCTCTTGTGAGGTGTCTTCTTGTCTGTCTCTTATTTGGTGAGTAGTCATAGTCTGTCAAGCTCCTATATAAAATGGCTTAAACTCAACTCTGCTAAGTATTTTTTCAAATATTTGTCTAGTTAAAAACTCCCCTGGAGCAGGGACTCCTCACCAATACTGAGCAGAGCCCTATAGATGGAACACTGTCTAGAAGTATGAGTTCTCTGGTTTGGATTTGTTGCTTTGAAAAGGTAGGGCAAGGGAGAAGTATACCTTGTTTACTCCAAATGTTGTGACTTGTTGGTCGCTCTGTACATGGAATATCAGAAGAACCTTCTTCTGTCTGTCCTCCCTACTTCTCTAGAATTATTTCATTTTTCACATAGAGAACTTCCCTGGCCACCTACCTGTCTTACACCATCTAGTGGAGCTGTCAGTACGAACTCATGGTTTTTCCTCTCTCTCTTGCACACACATATACACACATAAACGGATAGATATAGAAATAAATATAGATGTGTGTATCTGCATGTGTTAGTGTACATACTTATATTTCCTATTCCACTGAGAGCAATGACACCTCTGTAGCAAAGAGCATACCTGGTGCCATTCTCAAATGAAAAGATCAGGGGCTCCTTGGAGAAATAGTTGTTTGCAAGGCTGGGGCAGGAAAAATACAAATTGATCCTGAAACATCCTGTGGTGCCAAAACATAAAGAAGTGCTCAGAAAACTGATGTCCGTGTTGAAAGAACATAGGATCCAACTTGAAGGAGCTCCCAGTGGCCAAAGCTGGGACAATTTGAGCAATGAAATAAATTATGGTAGAATTGGGTTGTAAACCATAGAATAAATAAATATCCATGAATCCATAGTGATATAAATAAATATTTGAATATGTAAATAAGCGAGGGAGAAGGAATAGCTCTTTCTTATGGTAGAATTCCAATTAAAAAATGTAGAAGGACAGATTCAATGCAATCCCTATTAAAATACCAACATCATTCTTCAGAGATATAGAAAAATTAATTTTACACTTCATATGGAACCAGAGAAGACCCCGCATAGCAAAAACAATTCTAGGCAATAAAAACAAAATGGGAGGTATCAATTTACCAGACTTCAAACTTTATTAAAAGGCTGTAGTAATCAAAACAGCTTGATACTGGCACAAAAATAGAGCCATTGACCAGCGGAACAGAACTGAGAACCCAGATATAAAACTATCCTCATATAGCCATCTAATCTTTGACAAAGCGGACAAAAACATACACTGGGGAAAAGAATCCTTATTCAATAAATAGTGCTGGGAAAACTGGATAGCCACATGTAGAAGAACTGAATCAGGATCCACACCTTTCACCTCTCACAAAAATCAACTCACTCTGGGTAACAGATTTAAACCTAAGGAGTGAAACTATTAGAATTCTACAGGAAAATGTTGGAAATACTCTAGACATTTGCCTAGGCAAAGAATTTATGAAGAAGACCCCAAAGGCAATCACAGCAACAACCAAAATAAATAAATGGGACCTGATCAAATTAAAAAGCTTCTGCACAGCCAAAGAAACTGTCACGAGAGCAAACAGACAACCTACAGAATGGGAGAAAATTTTTGCATGCTACAAATCCGATAAAGGGCTGATAACTAGAATCCACTTAGAACTCAGGAAAATCAACGAGAAAAAATCAAACAACCCTATCAAAAAGTGGGCAAAGGACATGAACAGAAACTTTTCAAAAGAAGACAGAATAATGGCCAAAAAACATACGAAAAAATGCTCAACATCTCTAATCATCAGGGATATGCAAATGAAAACCACAATGAGATATCACTTATCTCCAGTGAGTCTGGCCTTTATCAAAAAAAGTCCCAAAACAATAAATGTTGGCGTGGATGCAGAGAGATAGGAAGACTCATACGCTGCTGGTGGGACTGCAAACTAGTGCAACCTCTGTGGAAAGCAATATGGAGATACCTTAAAGAGATACAAGTAGAATGACCATTTGATCCAGCAATCCCATTACTGGGCATCTACCCAAAAGATCAAATGACACTCTATAAAAAAGACACCCGCACCCGAATGTTTATAGCAGCACAATTCACAATTGCAAAGATGTGGAAACAACCCAAGTGTCCATCAATACATGAGTGGATTAATAAAATGTGGAATATGTATACCGTGGAGTGCTATTTAGCTTTAAGAAACAATGGTGATATAGCACCTCTTGTATTCTCCTGGATAGAGCTGGAACGCATTCTACTAAGTGAGGTATCTCAAGAATGGAAAAACAAGCACCACATGTACTCACCATCAAATTGGTATTAACTGATTAACACATAAGTGCACATATAAGAATAACATCTATTGGATGTCGAGGAGGGGGGAGAGGGGATGGGTATATGCATACACAAAGTGCAATGCGCACCATCTGAGGGATGGACACACTTGAAGCTCGGACTTGGGGGAGAGGGGGCGAGGGCAACATACATAACCTAAACACATGTACCCCCATAATATGCTGAAATTAAAAAAATGTACAAGAAATGAGGGAAATAGAAAATCACCATTCAAATATCACAATAATAATTTTTGCAGGTAAGAATAATGCACGGATGTTGTATCAATCAGAATTCTTCAGAGAAACAGAAGTAGTGAGAGGGAGTTTTTTTTTTTTTTTTTTTAAGGAATTGGTTTATGTGATTGTGGGGGCTGGGAAGTCCAAAATTTGTAGGTCAGGCTGGTAGGCTGGAAACCCTTGGGGAGAAGCTGATGCTGCAGTGTTGAGGTAAAATTTTTTCTTCCTCCAGGAAACCTCAGTTTTCAACTCACTGGGTGAGGGCCACCCACATTAGCAAGGCCACTCACATAAGCATTAGTTAACATCAACTGACTGTAGGTATTTATCACATCTACAAAATACCATCACAGCAACACCTAGATTATTGTTTGATTGAATAACCGCATGCTATAGCTTAGCAAAGTTGATGGATAAAATTAACCATCACAGATGTGGAATACGTGGGTGAAAGTATGATAACAAACAGGATATTTGCATGGTCTCAAAGTATAATTACAAAGGGAAAGATAGTAACTTCTCATTAGAGAAACCAGGCAGACACCACCCAAACTGAGTGATCAACATTAACATCACCAGTAACAAGGCACAGTAACTTAACAACCCCGATATGACACTCTGAGAACGGCACAGCATCACTTCTGTGGTAGCCTTGGTGCAGTGCAAAGCGTTAATATAGGCATGGGAAAGCATCGAACAAATCCAAATTGTTAGACATTTTACAAAATAATTGACTAGTGTTCTTCAAAAGTGTCAGGGTCACACAAGAAAAAGACTGAGGAACTGTCACAGATTAGAGGAAACTCGGGAGACATGACAACTAAATGCAGAGTGAGATCCTAGATTGGATCCTGAAACAGAAAGAGGACATTAGTGAGAAAACCGGCAAAACATAAATAAGGGCTGTAGATTAATTACTAATATTGTACCAGTGTTAATTTCATGGTTTCAATAATTGTATTAAGGTTATATAAAATGTTAACATTAGGGAAACTGAATGAAGGCTATATGGAAACTGTGTACTACTTTTGCAACTTTTCTGAAAGCCTCAAATTATTTTAAAATGAAAAATTTTGGAAAAACCCCACCTCCACATGGATCCCCCTTCCTGCTAAAAGCCCACACCTCTAAAACCCAAGCTCCTTATTCTGGTCCTCAGGACCTTTTATGATCTGACTCTGCTGATGTCTCCAGCCTCATCTGCTTTCCCTCATGCTGATCTCCTGACACATCCTGAGCCTTCCTTCATGGCCATGTTGGGGGTTTCGGCACCAGCTCAGACTGGAGTCTCCTGAGTCGGGGATATGAGGACAAGATAAAGGAGAACCAATGTCCATGCCCTGGGTGGGGGCAGCCTTGGGAATGGGGTCCCTGGAGTGTCAGGCCAAAGTGGGAATGGGAAATGGCTCACATGGGACATAGGGCAGGAACTGCATCCAAGACGCAGGATTGGCGGCAGTGGTCTAGTGAGCCAGGGCAAGCTCCTGAAACAGGGATAGTGGGCCGCGGCAGAAGAGAGGCAGTGGTTAGAGGCACCAAGCTGGTTCCCACAGCTGTGCTGTTCTTCTGTGTGGTCCTGGTCTTTCAGACTCTGGGTATTATGCTCTTCCCTCTTCCCAGGCTGCCTGATTTTTCAGTCTATCTAGTGAGCTTCTTCCCACTTGCTAGATCCAGCTTATGTCCTAGGCTAGTGGTTCACCTCTCTGGGCTTCCACAGAACCCCTTTTGTTATTATACGTTATATTATTATATGATAGTATATATTATTACATTATGACTCCTTTGGGTTTCTGTCTTATTCATTACCATAGTTCCAGTTCCTACACAAAGTAGATACTCAGTAAAGATCTGAACAGATGGTTGTGTGGGCAGGGCTATGGCTCAGTTCATTAAGTCATTCATTCAGCAACAGTCACGATGTGATAAACTCTATACAGGCCTTGGGAATACTGAGGTGAATAAATCAAAGTCTCTGCCCTTATGGAGCTTCTACTCTAGAGCTGGAGACAGACAATAAATAACTGAATAAATAAAATAATTACTGATTTTAACGAATGCCATGCAGTAAATTACTGATGCAAAAGAAAACAAATTCCAGAATGTTGTCATGATTTTCGTTAGGTGAGCTTACTAGTAAACCTCATATTCTTTTTGGTTACATACAGTTTTTAATTCTTTCCACAGTGAACATGATTATTAGTTTGTTATTTTTTAATGCCAACTGTCCTATCATTTTCTTATTCTGAGTTCCTGACACAACATTTTCTCTATAATGATGGAGGCCTGAGAAGATGGAACCCATCGAGTTGAGGTCACACATTGGGCTTGACCCAAGAGATGACCAATGTGGGAGTAGCTGGCACAGGAAAAGAGTGATCAGCTCTACTGAGAGGGATAAGGGAAGACCTCACAGAACAGGAACACTTGATCTTAGGTCTTGAAGGAACAATAGAGTTTAGAGATAAAAATGTGAAAGATGGGGCTGGCCTGAATGTAGTGAGTTATCTCACTTGATAACTCACTGGTAACTCATTGATTGTACACAGTCAGTTACAGATTGAACTCCTTATTCTACTACTTTGCCTCCTTCTCAACACTGCATTTGACTAGTCTTAAAAAGAAAAAATGTGAAAGACAGAATTGGGCAAGGCATTCCACCTCTTTTAGTTAAGGCCTTTTCATCTGTAAAATGGGGACAGTAACATGTCCTTCACCAGAGTTGGGGCCAATTAAATGAGATCTGTATGTAGACATCCCACCCCCCCAGCAGCAGTGTAGTATCTGGTGCATAGTAGGTAATCAGGAGCTATTTTTGGTTTTAGTATTATAGATAAATATACGGTAATCGTGGCTTTGGAAAAGGTTTTCCCCCTTTCACTGTTCTGATCTTCTCAACAGGCCGAGGATACTGGTTAGTGACTCGGAAAGGTAACCCCAAGAAGAAGCCCAAGGGTGTTATCAGGGCACCAGCTGAAGGTCAGGAAAGCCAGAAGAAGATTTCTTTTGACGTTAAAGGGAAGAAGAGGTCTCGGCAGGACAACCAAGTGGACCTACCTGGACACATCCTGGACCGGGCTTTTCTGGTGAGAGTAAATGCATCCTGGAGTGACTGGCAGCATCAACTGGGGTGGGAGAAAGGACTTGCCCTGCTTTGGCACAACTATCCCCAACCCACTCCAAACTATTAGAGTGATGTTGGCAAATTGAGTACAGCCAGGTAATGAAGGGATTCAAAACTTTCTCTACATGTAAAGCTTTCTTTACACCCACCATGTGAGACAGCTATTGTCATCCCTTTTATATTGTTGCCATTGGGCAAATGGGAAAACTGAGGCCCTAAGAGGTAATTTGCCTTGGCCAAGGTCCCACAGCTAGTAATTGGCTGGGCCAGGATTAGAACTCTGGTCTACTGACTCCAAAGCCTGTGCCTTTACATTATATGAGATAAGAACTCTTAATTGAGTTGGAGAAGCAAAGGAGCAGGTCAGGGGAGCAGTCAATTGAAAATCCTATTCCGGCACCTAGTAGGGTAGAGAGATTCCTCCTTTGCTCTGCTATGGGGCGATCTCTCCAGGATCAAGTGGGATTGGGGAGGTCCTATTCTCCCACAGGCTTTGCCCTTTGGCTTTAGTGTCTGGCTGAAATCCAGAGGAGATGACCAGATATTACCTAGTGCCTGGGGCAGGCTTTATGAAGAAGACTAGGGTGGTTGTGTTGGAGCCCAGCCAGGTAATTTCACATCTGCTCTGTACAATGCCTCAGTGGCTTTGCAAAGAAGGACACATTTTGTAAATCAATATTAATGTGCAGTCCAGTTCTCATAGATCCCTAAGAAGAACTCTGTGGCAGCCGACTTTGTTCCCAGATTCTGCTTATCGTTCCCACGAGATGGGTGTCTACATAGATCAGACATTGAAAAAGACCCTCGTTGGTTTCATCTCATCTCAAGAGGATAATATAAGCTTTTTGCAGAGTCCTCTGGAATTTGTTTCATTAGTATTAGGTATGTCTACTTCTCAGTGGGGGTGAGGAGGACTGAAACAGTAACACTGAGGAGGAGCAGAAACACTTTCCATAGTGGTCTTCTTTTCCTTCTTTGTTTCCAAATACATATATATCTCCACATTTAATCAAGATCACTTGTTACCCATGTTGCCACTTTAGGTGGCAGAAACAACAAGGAAGTTTTTCAGAGTAGAAGGATATCCACACTGCCTATCGGATAGTTCTACTTGAATGTTTCACTAGCACCTCATACTTAACTACTGCCCCAATCCCCCTTCTCCAAGTCCCAAAACATACCTCTTTTCCAGAATTTATACTGTCTCTACATTAGCACTGCTATATCCCAGTAACCAAGCCAGTAACCTGGGGTTATCCTTGACACTTATCTCTCCCTCACCACCCCCACCTTTACCAAGCACTGGCACTTTTATTAAATAGTTGTCAAATCTATCTTCTCATCCTTGTCTGGGCCATCATCATCTCTTATTGGACTAATTCAGAAACTTTCTAACTAGTTTGAACCAAGTAGGATGCTTTTATTTCACATAAAAAGAAGGCAGAGGCATTGTTTAAGGTAGGTTAGTTTACTGATTGAATGACTTAATGACTTAATCTTCCAAGGTCTGCGTTCCTTCCATCTTTCTGCTCTCCCATCCTCAGCATGTTGACTTGTTCTCTTGGGCTGATTGCTTTCATGATCCCAAGATGGCTGCAGCAATTCTGGTGATTACACATAGAAGAAAACATCCAGAGGTAGAGAGGGATTGTCACTGTCTTATGTCTGTTTTTAGAAGTAAGGAAAAGCTTTCCAAAACTAGTCCCTCACCCCCACTCCCGGCAGCCAGTGTCTCGTTGTCCAGACAGACCTATATCACATGCCCAAACAGTGACTGGGTAGGGGAATAAGACCTCCATGATTGGTTTAGACACGTCAAGACTTACCCCTTGGAACTAGGACTTAAGAACATGTACACTTAGAGAAATGTGAATAACATTGGTGTTCTTTAACAAGGAAAAAGTAGAGAAGTGGTTTTGGGAAGGTAATTAACAATGTCTGGTACATTTTTCTCTTCCCTTCCTATCCTGTCTTCTCATCTACGTGATGTACTCTGATACATCTATGTGTATCAGACATAACAATTTCTATAAAATTACTATCAGCCCCTTGCCAAAAAATCTCTGACAGATTTCTATTTCTATTGGTTGTAAGATAAAATCCATGCTCCTTTATAGAGCCAATGTGGACCTATACGATCTAATGACTGCCTCTCTAACCTTATCTTGTTTTTCATCTTCTTAAAAGAACCTTGCTGCTTCTTGCCTTGGTAGCCCGCACATCTCTACACCCATTTTCTTGAGACCAGCTTCTATTCGGCAATTAGGTCTCAGCTGAAATATTATCATACTTCCTCAAGTAAATATTTCCTCATTTTCAGACTGAGGTTAGGACCTCCTGTTATTATCTCCCATAGCACCTTGAATTTCTCCTTTAAAACATGTATCACATTTATAAATACTTGCTTGCTACTTGGTTTCCCATGATACTGTAAGCTCTATGAAGGTATGATATGTTTCTGCTTTTATTTCATTATCTTCTCAATGCCTAATTCAGTGCCTAAACATAATAGGTACCATAAATAAATGATTAACAGAAAAATGAGAATTGACTAAACATGAGATTTGACTAAACATAAATAAAAGCTCCAAAGCTGACGTTTGCTTCTAACTTTTTCATGATGTGGGGCAACATATGGTAGTCAAAAGAGCATAGCATTTAGTGATTACAGATTTAGATTCAAATCATAGATCACTTAACTGGATGTGGGACCTTAGGCAAGGCACATTACCTCTTTTAGCCTTGTTTTTCTCATTAAAGAAAGGGAGATAATCTTATTTCAAAGGGTTTAATTAGGATTAGAAGTAAGTTTGTTAATGTATTTAGCACAGTGTATGGCCCAAAATAGGGCAAGGTAAATATTTGGCGAGTAAATGGTTGAATAATGAATGAATAAGCAAACACAATTATGACAGATGTATGAGATTATCCAATAAGAGAAAAACCAAACAAAAATAGATTAGTTAATTAAATTGTGTCATGGCCTTGAGAGCTGACTCTCTGTCCTATGTTCCAGCTGAAGCACCACCGTGTAAAGAAGCCGTCAGACCTGTGCAATGTTAATGTGTGCGGCCTGAAGTTCTCCAAGGTGAGGCCAGCCAGCAAAGATGTGATTGGGGTGAGCCAGACCTGAGGTGGCTCCTGGCTGTTCTGGTTTGTCTATTGTATGTCCAGAGCCTCTAGGGACTGGAAATCTGGTCATATGGAAGGATAATGGCAAGGGTTGTGGGACAGATAAGGACTTACTAGGTAGAAACAATATTCAGACACAAATTCTTGCCATAAATTTGGTATTGACCTTGTCTTATTTGAGATGAATTAAAGGAAATTGTCTTATGAAACTCGTTTTGAATTTGCCATATAATTTTGTTGGGGCATAATCCATGTGTAACACTGAGTTCCAATCACAAGAGCCTACAAGAGAAATCTCTCTCAGGTTTCAATGCTAGAAATGGTAATAGTTCTCCTGAGAAGCTGATTTGTTCTTAACTTACAGGTGCTGTGACTCACGTAATGAATCATGATTCTTTCTTTGCATTGGCTTATAGACAGATGGGAGCCAAATTTGTGACCTACCATTAGCCAGTGTATATATAGGATATTATAGCATATTTTTGGTTTATAGGCTTCCATGGGATATCAAGTGAGATGGCTCATATAAACCAGTCCCACGGAGTAGGGACTGTCAGCCACAGGATGGCCAAATTAGTGGTGGAGCAGACTGCTCCCTAACAGGGTCCAACTTCACTTCATTTGGCCCTCATATTTTCAGAATTGAGTTACTTGGAGACAGGTTAGCTGCAGAAATTCATTCATCTTGAGGTGAGAGGCCCTTCAGTTTAGGCCAGCACATAGATCGCCAGAGATTGTAATATATAGTTCACATATAATGGTGAGACGAGTAGTAGAAGATGATTTCAGGGGTCTCTATAAATGCAACTTTTGAGGGCTACAACATAGCTGGCCAAAGCTCAGTCCTCCCCATCGGGTCCTGTCTGTTCTTCCTTCGCTTATTCACTCACCCGCCTGCCTACCCACCAAAACATACTGAGGTGGCTCAGACACTGCCCCTGCCCTTCCCAGTGGAGAAGGAGGAGGCTGGGCTCAGATGGTTGTGGAGATATTAATAGATAGGATTAGGTAATATAGTCAATGAGGGAAGCATGAGAGTGCTGAGTATTAGCTCAGAGGACAGGCCATTAACTCAGCCTTACGCTCGGAAACACACCCTGGAGAGGGTAATAGCTTAGCTGAGACCCAAGGGCGGAGTGGGTACTTGCTAGCTTTATGGTTAAACCATAAAGGAAAATGTTTGTGAAATATCTATTTAATAAAAGATACCATAAACAAAGGTAAAAGATAAGCTGTAGACTGGGAGAAGATATTAGCAATTAATATAACCAAAAAGGATTAGGATTCCGAATACGTAAAGAGCCCCCACAAAACAATAGGAAAAAAAAAAACTACCCAGTAGAATAATGGGCAATAGACATAAATATGTTAATATACAGAAGAGAAACCTGAAAGGCAAATAAATATAGGAAAAAATATTTAACCTCATACGTAATCAGGAAAATGTAAATGCAATGCCATTTTACAATCATCAGATTGGCAACAATTGAAGTTTTATGATGCTGTTTGCAAGGATTTAAAGAAATAGGACTTGTCATATATTGCAGATAGGACTGTAAATTGGTTTAACTGCTTTGGAGAGCAATGTGGCATCATCTAATAAAGCCGAAGGTGTGCATTCCCCACAACTAGATAGGGTATATCGTTAGAGAAACTCTTATGACAAGGCATGTAAAAGAATATTCATGGCATCATTGTTGTAATAATGAAAATTTGGAAATAAACATACATCAACTGGGAATGGATAACTTGTAATATATTCAGACAGTGGAACACTATTCAGAAATTAAAATGGATGAACTAGAGCCACATCTGTCAACATAAACGAATTTCAAAAGAGCTACGTGTATCAATACAGGTAAATCTCAAAAACAGTGCTGAGTAAAAAGGTTGCAGAATGATATCTACAGTATGATTGCATTTAGTGTAAAGTTTTAAAACATGTAAATTAGTACTATAAGTGGTTGATAAATACACATACGTAAGTACAGAACAGGTATGGGAATGATAATCACCAGTTCAGGATGCTGTTATGGGTTTAGGGAGGAATACTGAGAGGGGGATACTGATGGTATTGGTCCACCCTCTGTAATGTTTTATTTCTTTAAAGAAATTTGAAGTAAAAACAGCAAAATATTCAGACTTATTAAAACTGGATAGTGGTTACATGGGTCTTCAGAGTATCATTCACTATACTTTTCTGTGCATTCGAAATATTTCATAATAGAAAAAAAGAAGATGAAAGCCCTTACGGCCCTCAACAAGTGGCTGCTCTTGTGCTAGGAAGGTCTCTCATCCCTTTAGGTCTTTGTTCCTTCTGACTGTGGCTCTGGAGCTTCAGTTAGACAGAACTAATCTTGTGTTTTTTCTGAAATACCTTCCTACAGGCTAAGGAAAAGGACTTCAAGCATTTTCATTCTGTGGTTTATATCAATGCCTCAGAAAACCTGCTGCCTCTAGGTAAGCTTTTTCATTCTTGAAACTATCTTGCGCCTCTTAGCCAGCATAGCCATTCATTGTGTTAGGATTTGTCTGTCCATCCATCCATGATTGTCCAGGCATCTCTGTTTTGGAGTGTAATAGGCTAGGTGCTGGAGATCACACAGACCTCAAGTCCAGCCAGCACTGGCACCACCTATTTAGAATGTTTCTCTGTGAACTGATACTTTTCTATCTGTAAATGGGGATAATTCCCTTCTTTTATTCCTACCCTTCCAGTGTACCTTGCAGGCTCAGTGGAGGTAGGTGCTTAAAAGTGTTTTTAAGCCTGTAAGTGCCTCTATAGGAGCATAAAACCTTCTTAGTCAGTCAGCAAGTCCACAGCGCCCCCTGCTGGGTATTAGGACTATGCGAATGCTTGGCTTTTAGAAATGAGTGCATCCGGTTCCTGCTCTGGTGAGCTAGTTGTTTGTGGGGAGAGATGGACTCAGACACTGAGATCAGGATACAGTGAGAGCAATGATAGAGGGAATCAGGGAATGCTATGCAAGCATATAAGTGCGGCTTCAACCCAGGCCAGATTGTCACAAGAAACTTCTGAGACGAGGAGGATCTAAGCTGAGATCAAAAAATGAATGAGAGTGTCTCAGGAAGTAGAAGGTAGTAAGGAGGAGTTTCAGGCCATTGGAGCAAATGTGGAATGGCAGGCAGTGCCTGATCAGGGAGCCTGAAGAGGCTTCGTATTAATATGTTTGCAAGAGATGTATATGAGGGAGAATTGAGACTAGAGAGGTTGGCAGGGACTAGATTATTAAGGACCTTGAGTGATTTGGACTTAATCCTGCAGGCAAAAGAGAGCCTTGGAAGGCTTTTAAGTAGGGAAGCTCAGTGGCTGCTGTGAGGAGGTTGGATTACAAGAGAAGAACAGATGGAATCCAGGAAACCTGGGAGATTGTTTTAGTTTTAGCCCTGTTGAGGCCCTCAGCCAGGGCTGTGGCAAAAGGGGTAAAGGGGCGAGAGGGAGAGGGAGAGAGGGAGAGAGAGAGAAAGAGGGAGAGAGAGAGAGAGAGAGAGAGAGAGAGAGACACTCAGGAGGAGGTAGAAATCACAGGACTTGGTAACTGATGGGGATTTAGGGAGAGGGAGGAACCAAGGGATTCACTGAGACAGAGTGCACTAGAGGAGGGGCAGGTCAGAGGGGAAATAAGATGAGTTGATTTTGTTGCATTGAATTTGAGGGATGTTTTTAAAGAAGCATATGGTGAGGTACCTGCTCTTTAGGAGATAGTATGGTCTGTCAGGACCTTGGGCTTGAAATACAAAGGCCAATGGGTATATGAAAAGATGCTCAACCTCGCTGATAATTAAAGTAGCATCAAGATATTATTTTCTGCCTATCAAATATTGGCAAAAATGAAAGGACTGATGACAGGCAGCATTGGTAGGGAAATGAATACCTTTGCATTCAACTAGAGGAAGTATAATAAATTGGTACATCTTGGAGGTAATTTGGCAATGTTTCTTAAAATAGTCATTGCCTGTAGTTACACTTCCAGGAATTTATTCTATAGAAACACTTATACAAGGATGTTCATTGTAAACATCCTGAAATACCCACAAAGTGGTCTTTTTATTAGGCTCTACTGAACATTCTGACTCACAAGGCTATCATGGGATACACTCAACGCCAGGTTCACTTAGAAGGCTCTAAGTAATTCCACACAGTATCCTAGTAGGACAGCTTCAGGCGTTTCTCTTCGTTGTAGTTCTCACAGCCATCCATGAGCCATTCTTTGTGTCCCCTAAGCCCTAGTATCAGCTCAGGTGCAAGACTGTCATTGGGTAAATGCAAGAGCCATCCTGGCTTAGAAACCTCATTCCCCACAGGAGCCAATAGCCCTTGTAACACTTCATAGGCATAGTTTCTAGATTTCCTGCAAAGGGCATAGCTAATTACAGGAGTCACAGCACACAAGGAAGGCCAAAGTTGTGGTACCCCCTTCAGGTGTTTATAATTCATTTATAGTTTCTCCTAGGCCAGATGCAGTTTGCCAACCTGGGGTCATTTTTACCAGAAGTGATATTGCCTAGTAACGCAGTTACCACACTGTTCGTTTCAGTTACCAGGGGAACAGGGCTAGAAAACCCAAGGTCCAGTTCTCACGCAGAGGGGGAATAGTTTACCTTTTATCCATATAACCTAAAGACTATTAATAGGGGAATTGATAAGTAAACTTATGTATGTCTGTACTATAGAACATAATTAAGACATTAAGCTGATCTATATGTTTTGACCTGGAACAATTTTTAAGTCATACTGTTAAGGGAAAAAAGGAAATCACAGTACCGTATGTATAGTATGATTCCATTTTTGTAAAAAGAAGTGGTGTGTGTTTTAGTATATACATAAGAAAAAGTCAAGTGCTACACATGTATCTTCTAGTAATTATCTCTGAGTGTTGGTATTAAAGCAAACTTTTATTTTTCTGTGATGTTTGACTATTTTTGGTAGACATGTTGAACTTTTGTAATCAGGAATAATAAAGAATCTTTAAAATGGGCTTTGCAGTTGAGCAGACTTAGATTCGATTCTTGGCTCTTCCACTCACCAGCAATTGCATTTCTAGCAAATCAGCCTGGCTGAGTCTCAGTTTTCTCAGCCATAGAATGGAAGTAGTAATCCATGTTTTTCCAGCTGGTTAGAGATTTAGAGGCCATGTTTGTGAAACACCTTACACAGTGTTTGGCCTAACCCAGTGGGAACCCAGTAAGTGGTCATTATTAATGTCTTTCTCTTAATCCTTTACAAACTGAAGATGCTTTTTCCTCCCCATCTAGATGCATTTCACACATTTCCAGCCTTAAGGGAACTGGAGCTTGCATTTAATGGCATCAAAACAATCTATGTGAAATATGGAGACTTTAAGTTATTGGAAGTAAGTTGGAGGTAGGGAGTTTTTGGTGCCCACCTGTTCCCCTGTAAGAAATGGGTGTAGAGTTCTCTATTGATTATAATTGTTGGGAAGGGGCTCTCTGGGCCTTTATAGCGAGGCCCTTACTTCATTGCTGGCCTCCATAGGGGTGGTAGTAGTGGTGGTGATGGTAATGGAGGTAGTGATGACGGCAGCAGTGGCAGCAAATAGTTGATACCTGTAGCAATGGTGCATGGTCCTGGAAAATAAATGCCAAAGGTCATGTTCAAGGGAGTCTGTGCAGAAAAGTGAATTTAAATAGAGAATTGTAGGAGGGAGAGTTTGAGGGGAGATCTGGATCCAGTGAGGGTTGAGGAGCCATGGAGGTTAAAAGGTAAGTGCAGCAGATTGGACCAGCTGAAGTAGAGACATTATAGACTGATTCCAGAGACCCATCCTGGTCTGAGCTGGATCAGTCCCAAAGACTAGGATAGAGCAGACTATAGGCCTCAGTCCATAGGCCCAGAGAGGCATATGAAATAATATAGTGCTCCTATGAATTCAACATCAGACTCTTGACATTTGTACATTCACAGCTGTTCTCCAAACCCCAGATTAGAAAATACAGAAAATTTTGTTTGCATTCTTGGCTTTCTCTTAAATTAAATTTCCTATAGTCATGCATTTTCCATGCATTTCCTCATACTTCAAGTTTATTACCTCTTCAGCTTTCATGAAGACTTGGGGACCACTTTTCACAAAGGAAGAAAGCTTTTGCCATTACCTGAGAGTCACTGTGCACATGGAGAGTAGAGGAGGAACCAGGTGTGGAGCTGAGCATTTGGCCAAGCTCACTCACTGAATAATGGATTCTTCCCCACACACGTTGCCCTTGTATTATAGTAGAGGTGTTTGAGATTCAAACCTCAGCAAAATATCTGCATGTTGTGAGCCTTACGATCAACACCAAATAGTTGGTAACTTAAATGATTTAATCTGCAAACATCCAGGCTTAGGTATTCTTCATAAAAAGCCTCACTTAACCTGATCTTGTCAGAGATGGAAAACTTCCACAAGGGTGAATTTTTCAGAGACTTATGCCAAACTTCTAAAACTTATGCCAGAGTTTTAAAAGGTTTTAACCTCTTGGGATGGCCATCTTCCTAAAATAGATTATATGTCCTTGTTTTTAAAGCATACTATATTGAATATAATGGAACCTTCTCGCTATGGTTTCAAGTCATATTGAAGATAACAGTGATTTATTATGATTTGGGACAAGAGTGGTCCTCAGACTTGTCCAGAAAGCTCCTGAAGTACAATTAAATAGAAAATAAATTTCCAACAACTGAGGCAATTTTGTGCTAATGTTAAAAAAATATTTTATATATTTTATACTAGATTTTAGGATAGACAATGGGAGACAGGGTCCAGATGCACTAGAGATGCAGAGAGCCATTTCCCTGACCTCTAAGCTAGAACCTTCTTAAGAACTTCCATGTATTCTTTTACTTTTTGGAAGACTAGTCATTGAGCTGCTGTGTTTTGCATTGTGCCACACACCTTGTCTTCTTCACCCCTCCCTTCTTCAAACCCCTGTTTCAAGTGCCAGTGGTCCATAGGGAGGGGGCCATGACTTTAGGCTGTGACCCCACAGCTGACTAGCTGGGATCTAATGGTTGATCATTACTGACTTTTTGGAGGCCCTACTTTATAGTTTGATAGCATGATGAAAATTATGTATCTAGCAGACCCAGCCTTACCCAAGGGAATATTTACGTAAGAGAGCGGATCACATTTAAGGTGCAGAATATAAATGAAAACAGGAAATCTCCTGACCAGTCATTTGTTTTCATCTCTGTGATTTGCAAGCGCTCCCTAAGAAAAAGAATAAACCTGTCAAATATCCTGAATTTGCAGCTCGCAGTAATGCATACTTTGATGTGTAATAAAACTTGATGTGACTCAGCAGATGTAGTAGCCAGGTCAGGAATCTTCTGTTCTTGTTTGCCAAAAAGGCTGCCCCAGGGGGAAAAGGCCAGAGTAGAATTCTTCAGGAGTCAATTTAGAAAAACTTAACTTTGCCACGATTTGATTCACTGCTTACAGATCTGAAAAAGATTCAACTAGAGCCCTGTCCTGGTAGTCAGGAGACCTTGTTTCTGGTCTTGGTTCTGCCAGTACTTTGCCATGGCCAAGTAACTTACCCTCTCTGGGACTTAACTTTCCCCCTCTGTAAATTCTGGGCCAGCTATGAAATTCTGTGACCTGAGATTCTATGGCTATAAGTTTCTTTGAGCTACGCTTAATTCTATGTAAAGCAAATTTGGACCCAACATTAAATAGCCAAAGTAGCTGGAATAGGGGTCTGCAAACTTTTTCTGCATAGGGGGCTAGAGGGTAAATATTTTAGACTTTGTGGTCCATATAATCATATAATCCATATAATCATAACTAGTCATAACTGTCATAATTAGTCAGCTCTGCTGTTATAGAAGGAAAATCGCCATAGACAATATGTAAACAAGAGAGCATGGCTGTGTTCCAATAAAATTTTGTTTATGAAGCTGAAGTCATAAATAAAGTCCCATAATTTCCATTTGTAATACATTATTATTCTTCTTTTGATTTTTTTCAACCATTTAAAAGTGTAAACATCATTCTTAGCTCATGGGTTATACAAAATAGCAGCATGCAGGGCTTGGTTCTCAGGCCTTAGTTGGCCAACTCCTGAGCTAGAACACTGATGAAACAGCTTAATATGGTTGGAATGAAGACAGAGACACAGTAGAGTGTAGTGATGTGTGAGCCTGGAGAGGTAGTGGAAGAGAGACTGGAGAACCCTGGAGACCTTGCTAAGGAGTTTAAACCTTATCTTATGGATAACAGGGAGCCATTGAAGAGTTTTAGGCTGAGGAGTGGTAGGGTCAGAGCTGGCTGCTATCAAGAATGGATTGGAGGGAACAAATGTGAGTGATGTTAAGAAGGTAGATAGAATCCACAGGTCTTTCTATGAATGTCTTCCTATGGACTGTCTACATATGAGTATGAGGGAGAGAATTTTCCCCACCTTTACCTGTGCTTATCTGAGGCAGCTTTCCAGTGAGATTGCCCCATTGTGTCAACCCTCAAACCTTGAAATTTGCTGATGGTGGCATTAACTTGGCACTCCTATGGTACTTGGTACCTTTCATGGTCTGGCCAGTCTTACAAGGTCCTTTTATACCATGGGCTTCAGTCATACCCAAACCATTTACGGTTCTGCTGACTCCTGCCTTCTATGTATGACACTTGCTTCCCTGAATTTCTCCTTGCCCTTAACAATGTGGTGAATGCTTCCTAGTCTCTGAGGACAGCTGAGATATTACCTGCTCTGTGAAGCCTGTCCTGATCCCCTGGTAGACCTGACCATTCTCTCCTTTGTGCCCCCATTGGTCTGTCTTCAGACATCTTTCCCAGCAGCATTGCTACCTAACAGACATATGAATGTATCTACCTGCCTCGGTAGGATGGAGACTCCCATAGGGCAGAGACTGGGACAAAGTAAGCCTTCAGCATAGGGTTGATGAATGAAAGGATGATAATGATGATGACAGCCAACATTAATTAAGCATTTGCTGTGTACCAGACTCTAGACTAAAGACTTTATCTACATAAGAACCACTTATTTCCACTTTATAGATAGGGAAGCCTAGGTTAAGTAATTTGACCAAGATGGCACAGTTAGCCAGGACTTAAGCCCAGGTCTGCAGAGCCCATCAATTAATTACTACAGCAGAATCAGACCAAACCCGGTCCTTCTTTGATGGTGACCTGCAGTGTGTATATGTGTGACTGACTTCGTAACACTGATGTGGCTGACCAAAGACCTTCCTCTTGCACTAGTTGGGTAAGATGCTGAAACTGACCCCATTCAATAGGCTTCAGCGTAGTGGGGTGGGGGGCGGTGCACAGAAGCATACAGCACGTTAGAGTGGAGGGAAGGGAGCCAACTCGTATGGAAGAGCTAAAGCAAGTGTCTACAGAGGCTTAAGAGAGAGAGAACAAAGATTGGGCAGATGTCATTTATCCCAGTTGCCTTTGTCTTTGCAGAGAGAAACACAGTTTCCTGGCAGGTACCTTGACCCCAGTCAACTATCTCATGAATCCAGGTGGCTAGTTGATGATAGGCCAGTGGTTGATGATACGGTGATAATTTGGGGTCATTGTCTTCATAGGCCAGTTCATTTCAGCTGTTTTTTTACGTGCACCTACTTTGTGCCAGGTCTTATGCTAGGTTACAAGGATATGGTATTACAGTGGCATGGCCCTTGGTCTCAAAGGGTTATGATCCAGTCTACCACTGTGCCAGACACTATGCTAGACACATCCATATACCAATATCTCTGTTCCTCAGACATGTATTTGGCTATCTCAGATAGCTGGCAAACTTTGATAAAGTACCCTGAGAACAGTTTAGATAAAGCATTCAAAGTCAGGGGAAGGAGAGAGTCCATCTGGCTGGGAAATTAGGAAAGGTTTTATAAGGAGGCATCTTTTGAGCTGGACTTTTGGGGCTCAGATTCAGATACATGGACATTCCTGTCTGAGTGACAAGCACAAGCAAAGATCTATAGGTAGGATGGGGCAAGGAATGGGGAGAAGGCAATTTATTGCAGTGGCAGCTAAGGCTGGAAAATAGGTTGGGAACTGACTCTGTTGACCTTGACTATTAATCCAGAGAGCAAGGAGGGTTTTATCCTGTGGGTGAAGGGGCAACCTGGAAAGTTAGAAAAAAAAGTAGCTAGCTCCCGCCTCATGTACGAGCATCATTGTCACATGTAGTGTTTCTGTTCCCCATCTTTTATCTTTGCATGGTAGTTTTTGGACCTTTCCTTCAACAGCCTGACTGCAGAGGCCATCTGTGATCTGGGGATTCTGCCACACCTCCGTGTCCTGCTCCTCACAGGCAATGGGCTCACCTCCCTGCCACCCAATTTGGCTGTCACAGAGCAGTAAGTTCTACTTCCTGGAATCTGTCCTGTGTGTTCCCTCAGGAGCCTTTGTCTATACACAAGTATCCAAAGAAATAGTCCAAAGTAGCTTGGAAGTGCCACAAGGACAGGCTGTCAGTGCTCAAAGCAGGGAGAATGCTGTCTGCTGAAGCCCCCAGGAAAGGCCTCAGATAGGTGCACCAGTTTTTCTGGGTGCTGTTAGGAGAGATGCAGGTATTTGGCAAGCCACTTTCCCTGCCTCTGATGGGTCATTTGTAAATTGTGGCTATTGCTCTTGCCAGATGATTCCCTTAATGAGCCCTCTGCTTCAGCTCAGTAAGTCTATTTACTGGTCTCTAAATAAGCTTTGTACATTCCCTGTCTTCACCTTTGCTAAGGCCATTCTTCTGGCCAGGATATACTGGTCCTTCCTCTATTATTAATAATAATACATAGGTAGTGCCAGACACTATTCTCAGCACTTTACATATGTTAACTCATTTAATCCTCACAACAGCTCTGTGAGGTAGGTGTCTTACTATTATCCCCATTTTTCAGATGAGAAAATTGAGGTACAGACAGGTTAAGTAACTTGCCCAAAGTTATAAAGCTGAAGCAGAGGGCTCATGAAGGGGATTCGTCTACAATAAGAAGAGAAGGGCCAGGCGTAGTGGCTCACATCTGTAATCCCAGCACTTCAGAGGCCAAAGCTGGAGAATTGCTTGAGGCCAGGACTTCACAACCAGCCTGGGCAACTGAGTGAGACCCCCTCGCTACAAAAAATTTAAAAATCTGCTGGGCATGGTAACGCATGCCTGTGGTTCTAGATACTTGGGAGGCTGAGGCAGGAGGATTGCTTGAGCCCAGGAGTTGGAGATTGCGGTGAGCTCTGATCATGCCACTGCACTCCAGTCTGGGTGACAGAGCAAGACTCCGTCTCCAAAAAAAAAAAAACCACAATACAATCAGAAGAGAATATAATGGTCAGTGACAGAGCTAGGATTTGAACCAGGTCCATCTGATTCCAGAGACCACACTCATGATTATTATATTTTCTTCTTATGTAGATTCTGTACATTTTTTAAGGCCCAGCTCAGACCCTCTTCCTTTCTCTACCAGACACCTTCTCTGACTGCTTTAGCCCATGCCTCTTCCTCCCTTCTGTAAGCATCAGTTGAATTTAATGTTTCCCCAGTTAGTTTAGTACTTAGCGTATTCTGTGGTGACTTCTGTCTCATAAATATATATGTATCTTTATGATAGTTAAGTGGATGGGATATATAGTCTCCCCAAGCAGATTGTGAGCTCTTTGAGGGCTGGGGCTCTGACTTACTCATCTCTGATCTGTAGCACCTAGATGAGGACCCAGTGCTTTACACACAGTAGGTATTCAGTGAATGTTAACCAACTTACACATGGTTATGGTGCAAGTCGTGGTGATAATGTTTATTTTGATGATGGCAGATATGATAGAAATTATAGTGATGATGGTGCTTGTTAGTTGCTCAAGGGGGTTGGGATAATAGTGGTCATTAGAGAGTTCATTAGGGTTCTTTTGTTTGCAAGTAACAGAAGTCCAATTCAAACTTGCTTAAACAAAAAGGGAATTTATTGGTTCATGTATCTGAAAAATTCCAAGATTAATTCATTTAGCTGGATATAGGTGCAGGATGTTGCCAGGGCTCTATGTTCATCTCTGTTTCTTAAGCACGTGTGCAACTTCCGTCACTCTCTGTATCACTTGCTCTCTCGTGCACACACGTGTATCTTTGTTTTCCTCAGTGTTGGCTTAATTCTCAGGCAGGCTTTCTTCACAAGACGTGTCAGTCAGGCTCTAGTCAGGAATACAAAAATCATTCAAGGTATTGCAAATAGATGGAGTTTATTTATTTATTTATGCATTCATTCATTCTTAGGGGGAAGATATAATAGTTGGTATTTTATTATGGAAAATTTTGAACACATATAAAGGTAGAGTTAATAGTAAAATTAATTTCCATGTACTTATCACCCAATGATTATCACCTGACAATGATTAGGTTATAGCCAGTCTTGTTTCATCTATGCTCCCACCACCCTCTATCCTAGATTATTCTTAAGAAAAATCTCAGATATCCTAGCCATAAATGATTCCAGAAGATTCATATAATTTTGTCTATAAATATTCCAGTATGTACCTCTAAAAGATAAGGACTCTTTTAAAAATCATACCCAGAGAAACTGGTTCCACCTAAAACATCACCAGCGATAAACAGAGGGAATTGGTTACATAGCTGTTGAAAAGACTGGAAGAGCAAAATGGAGAAGGGGGTGTGGGAAGAAAAAAAAGGAAGAAGGGTTGATATCCAGAGATCAGAAGCTGCTAACTCTGCGAGACTGAAGCTCACAAGTCTATACGTGCTGCTGTGCTTTTAGAGAAGTTGTTGCTACAGTTTTAGATCTGCTGAAGATGTGTTGTTCAACGAGGGCTGGAACCTCTGCCAGCAGTCATCACCGTCAACACTGCCACTGCTGCTGCACTATCGCTGCTGCTGCTAACAGAAATGCTGCTAGAAACTATACAGGAGAGTTGCTTCTCCCCATGCTCTGGCTTTCCAGTTTCCCACCAGTCCCTTCCCTTGGCAGTATCTAACTGGAGGACAGTTGGAAAGGCAGTCTGGGAAGTGTAGGTAAGGGGTGGCTCCAGCCCCCTACTACACATAGCAGAGCACAAAAGAAAGAAGTGAAGGCTGAGAGCAAATAGGCAGACAGCTGGCACCAGCAAACATTTGAAACCCCACTATCTACTCTTGTCCTTCTCTCCATATTTAAGTTTCATACAACAGTAGCAGCTATACAACATGCTTTCACCTAACACCAAGGAACTTTTCCTCTTAGACTGAAGACACCTTCACCATCCTCAAAAAAGGGATGAGACACAGTTCCACCAGTTACTGGACCCATCTCTGGGTGATATTTTCTCTCCTAAAGAAATTTCTAGATATAACCTAAAAACTAAGTTGTAAAGTCAATCACCACTAGCAGTTTACACGTACAATATGCCTGCACACACATGCACATGCATACACACGAGGAAGGAAGAAAATATACATAGTTGCTATAATCATTTTCTTAACTGGTCAGGAGGCCATAGTGGATATTTATAAATCTTTTTTCCGTCACTCATTTAATGTTCCTTTGTCCTTGTCCAGCACTTTGGCTGGTTGGGGTTCTTTAACTGGTGTGGTGTCATAAACCTTCACTCCTGAAGGGTCTGAGTCCTTAAAGGTCCTGCTTTTATCAGATTGCTGTAGTCGTCTGTTAACTTTTATTAAAATAATAATGGAACTTATAAGAGGAGCACCAGATAATTCTCTGGATCCCAAAGATACTCTTTTTTGCCTTCAAGGTATAGCAGCAATTATATTTACTTTTGATAAACAATATCAGTTACCCAGCCAATAGAGTAAACCCCCCTCTGCCTGCATATTCGTTCAGTGGAATGAGAAACCTAAGTAGTTGCCAGTAGGAACCTCAGTTTCCAGTTCAGTGGAAATATTCTTACATCCCTGGTAAAAGTACTTCCTTGGGAACTAAGGCCTCTAAATCAGAAGTTCCCAAAGTAGTAGGAATGAGAAGCAAAAATTCTGCAAGCAGATTATTAGATATAATTGTAAGAGAAGCTACACTCATTTTCATTCATTAATTCCTAGGCCTTTACGTAATGGTTATGAGAAAAACAGTATCAATATTGGTTGCTGGCTTATGTAATACCCCATGCTGTAAGTTAGGACCCCAACTTCCCCAACTATACCTAGCTGGTGTAGTAAATAAATCATCAACGACTATTTCATCAGAAGATCCTGGGAAGATAGTAGAGTAGGAAGCACCAAGAATCTCCCTCCTCACCTAGACAACAATTTCATTGGCAGGATCTGATGTAACAATTTTGAAACTGTAGACTAGAGTCTATCGAAAACTTGCATCTTTCAGGAGAAGGCTTAAAGCAAACTGCAGTTAATCTCAGTCAATTTCAGCCCTTAGCCCAGTAGCAGCTACCCATACCCCAACCTCCAATCTCATAGTAGGCAGTCATGTATGTATTCCTAGAGTACCTCACGTGCAGCTCATAGGAGCCAGGGTGAGCAAAAAGGTCACTGTCCTCCAAATGTTGGGGATCTGTGCTCTGATCACTGATTGTTGCTTCTGATTATGGAGGTTCAGACACAGAGGCAGCCAGCGGTTGTTACACATATACCCTCTTTCCCCACTATTGTAAGCTCCTCCCTCTCCCTGAAGAGACTTCCAGGGAATTTAAAGGACCAACACCTTTTCTTTATCCCCCTTCATTTTTCTTGTATTTCTCCTTTTGGGAGCCAGATATTAAAGTCTAGGACATTCAAAAGCAACTGCATGTGCAGGGGAAATTAGAAAGTCACCTCACATAGCTAGGGAAAGGCACAGGCTTAGAAAATAACTGAGAAGACGACCTTAAGTTTATACCACAGGCTGATCCTTGACAAGGAGACAGCCTACAACAATCAAAAACAAAAGAAAACAAGAACAAAAAACAGTAAACCCTAGTGAAGGGGGAAAATCTGATTTCCAGAGTTAGCATGTAATAAATTCAAATATTCAGTTTTCAACAAAAAAGTCATAAAGTATACAAAGAAACAGGAAAGTATGCCCCATCCAAAGGAAAAAATAAACCAACAGAAACTGTCCTTGAGAAAGATCTGAGGGAGAACTTAGTAAAGACTTTAAAACAACTGTCTTAAAGATGCTCCAAAAACTAATAGAAGATATGAGGAAGGTTAAGAAAATAATGTGTAAACAAAATGGAAATATCAATAAAGAGATAGAGAACCTAAAAAGAACCAAAAAGAAATTCTAAAGCTGAAAATTACAATAACAAATAAAAAATTCACTGGAGGGATTCAAAGGGAGATTTGAGCAGTCCAAAGAACCAGAGAACTTGAAGATAGGACAATTAAATTTATCAAGTCTGAGGAACAAAAAGAAAAAAAGATTGACTTGAGCAG